CCTGCGGGTTCTGTGCGGCTCCTTGAGCCGGGTCGGGAGCCCCCTGTGTGGGTTCGCGCGGAAAGGGCTCCGGCAGCTGGGGTCCCAGGTCCCCCCTGCCTTTTCACTCCACCGTTTTTCTTGAGTGTTTGAGGTTCAAGAGAAGCATCAACTAGTTTAATGTCACAGTGATTTTTACAGGTGGCAAAAAACAAAAGCACACCCCTAAATTGGCCAGGCTTGATGGCTTACGCCTGTGATCCCAGCACTCGGGAGGCTGAGGCAGGAGGGTCCACAGAGCTCGCGGCCAGTCTGGGGGCTACGCGGTGACTTCAGGCACAGCCATCCTCCTCCAAATGCCCAGGCGCTCCTTCATATTGTCAGTCGCTGCACTCTGTACCTGAGAGAGGAGGTTGAATGGAAGCGACGTGTTGCTCACTTTGAATTAATTGTTTTTTCACGACGTTAAGAAAAAAGATGAGAAATCAAGGGAGAATCAGGACAAAAGGAATCGAGCTCCACAGTCCAGCACAGGTTTGAGAGGGACCCCTAGCAACTAGACCAGAACGCTGTCCTCTCCTACAGGTTATGGGATTTTATTTTATTTTTGGATACCGGGGATCGAACTCGGGACCTTGAGCTTGCGAGGCAGGCGGCGGAACCGCTGAGGTAAATCCCCCGCCCAAGCTATGGGATTTTATCAGCTTGTAAGAGAAAGTTGTAGCTGTCCATTTTGTGGTTGGCCTGGGATGGTCTCTTTTGGGGAAAGGGAATTTAGAGAGCAAGGATCTGTTTTTCCTGTTTTTCGTTTTGAGACAGACTCTACACGCAGTTTAGGCCGGCTTTGAACTCACTTTGTAGCCCAGGCTGGCCTCAAACTTGGGATGGACGATCCTCTTTCCTCAGCCTCCCGAGTGCTGGGATTACACAAGCATCTGTCCCCACAAAGTGCTGAGAATCTTGAAGTGATTCTGGGTGAGGGTTTGGTAACTGTCCGAATTAAACTTGCAGAGGGGGCGTGTCTTCACAAAGACAGGAAGAGTGAGAGAGAAGGGTATGTGGAGATCCCCGAAGGAAATTTCCTGGCCGCTCAGCTCCCTCTCCTACTAGGAAGGAGCCTCTTTGGGCTGCCTCTGCCCAGTCAGAGTGGTCTGTAAGCAGAGGCGTGTGTTTGACCTTGTGAGTGTGGGGTCCTTGTGAAATGTGGGAGAAACAGGCTGCTTTCTAATAATAATTATTGAAATAAATCATTTTTAAATCTGTGTTTAAGAATGTAGATATCAATCGAATCACCTTGGGGGTGAATATATTACCCCATGGTCAGTTGTGTGTGTGTGTCTGAGTCATCTGATTCTGTACCCAGAAGTGATCACAGGCTGATATTATTTGTCACGCACTGTGGGGCTTGGTCTGTTTTGTTTGGTTTTTTGGTGATCTTTTTATTTGCACCGGGGATTGAACTCAGGGACCTTGTGCTTGCGAGGCAGGCAGTGGAACCACTGAGCTAAATCCCCAGTCCTGGTTTTTTAGGTTTTTGACAGGTTTTTTTGTTGTTTTTGTTTTTTGTTTTGTTTTGTTTTTTGTTTTTGTTTTTGTTTTTGTTTTTTTGAGACAGGGTCTCACTGTGTAGTTGAGACTGACCTGGAACTCACTATATAGCCCAGGCTGGTCTTGAACTCACAGCAATCCTCCTGCCTCAGCCTCCTGTGTGCTGGGATTACAGGCGTGTGCCAACACGCCTGGCTTTAACAGTTTTTTAAAAGGTATTTTTGATTTTATCCTCCATTGTGCTAGTGCATCGTAAAATTTTTGCTAACAGAATAGGAAGAAAATGGATGGTTTTATCAGATTGTGGGTGAATTCAAATTCAGTAGGAAATGTTCACATTTTATGAATTTATCATCTGAGTAAGAATTTTTGTGAATATATTTTTACTTCTTGTTGGCAACAATTGAAATGATCTTAGTTTATTTTCCTGATGTGTAGTTAAATAGCATCTCTATGATAATGGCTTGCATGATATCGATTTCTTCTGTGAGCATTTTTTAAAAATGTGTTCTTTCATCTTGACTGAAATTGTTGTCTCTTTCCTTCTCTTTCTTCCTCTCTTTATGCCATTTATGTCTTTATGCCAGTGGTGTTTTGTTTTTAATTTCGAATCCAGGTTTTTATCATAAATATGTAGCAAAATGTTGGAGTTTTGCATATTAAACTGGTGTTGTACAACCTTGTTACAATCCTTCATTAATTCTAGTAGGGTGTTGTTGGATCATGGGATTTTTGAGGTAGACAGTGATGCCATCTGTGTACAGACAGGTTTATTTTCTCATTCCCTATGTGTAAGCTCCTTGTGTATTTTAGAAGTGTTTTCACCCCCGTGTTGGTGATGGAACCTAGGGCCTCTCATGGCTAAGCTGTGTCACAGCCTTTATATATATTGCAATACTTAAATATGTTTTGAGACTTCTCCTTAACACACATCACTTAAAAGTTTGTGGTTCAAGCTCTGTGTTCTGCATCTCCTGTTTATTTCCAATTACATTACCAGTGGGCTTGAAAGCCTACTCTGTGATTTCTGTCCTGCTAGATTTCTTGAGGTGCATTTCATAGCCCAAGATATGGTCTGTGTTGGAGTATATGCCAATGTTCTTGAGGAGATTATGTTCTCTGCAGTATTTATTTATGTATTGATTGATTGATTGATTGGTATCGGGGATTGAACTCTGGTCCTGGCGCTTGCCAGGTAGGTGGTGGAACCAACTGAGCTAGAGCTCTGGCCCTCTCCGCAGTTTTTATTTATTTATTTATTTGGTGTCTTTTGAGACAGGGTCTCACTATGTAGTTGAGACTGACCTGAAACTCACTATGTAGCCCAGGCTGGTCTTGAACTCACACAGCGATCCTCCTGCCTCAGCCTCCCGAGTGCCGTCATTACAGGCGTGCCCCACCACGCCCAGCTTCCACAGTTTTTAAAGTCAAATAACTAGGTCATAGAGGGTGCTATTGTAGATAGGTCAGTTAATTAGATGCCTTGCAGGCAGTTGGGGCCACAGGCAAGGAGCCAACATGGGGAACAACTGAGGCACATTTACTGGTTAGCATTACAAAAAAGAAAGATGCTACTTCCCCTGGAGAATAGTGGTGATTGATACCCTGAATGGGGCGATTCACTTTGTGTGACTTGTTTTCCCATTTGATCCCCATTTAATCACTTATTACCTGGGTGACTGTACTTTTAATCTTATTGTTTGGTCATGGTTTTGCCTCACCTCCCGGCCTTGCTGACTGAAATGCATTTGAAAAGACGGGTGGACAGGCAACCTATTTTATGGTCCCCCTTCTGTTTCACTTAGGTAGGTGCTATCTTTCTGTCAAGAACTATTCCCTACTTTTTTTTTTTTTTTTTTTTGTACCTGGGTTCAAACTCTGGGCCATGTACTGGTGAGGCAGATGGCAGCACCACTGAGCTAAATCCCTGGCCTTATATTCCTTTCTCTTCACATCCGTTGTTCCTAGAATTCATTCTTCAAATTTAGAGAACACAAACACTCGCGTTTCGGATATTTAGCAGGTTTGGGAGGTAAATCTATTTCCTTGATCTCAATTTTTTTTTCCCCACTTTTGGATTTTTTGTTGTTGTTGTTGTTTTTTGAGACGGGGTCTCACTATGTAGTTGAGACTGACCTGGAACTCACTATGTAGCCCAGGCTGGTCTCGAATTCACAGTGATCCTCCTGCCTCAGAAAAATGTCTAATGTCACTTTTTTTTCTGTGCCATAACCCTTCAGAAATAACATTATTGCGATTATTATTGTTGTACCCAGATCTCAGTACAAGAGAAGTTTATTTCAGGTTTGAACCTGGACCCTTGCCCATCAGGGAAGCAAGAGCCCAGAGTTCAGGTTATAGCATGGTTATATAGGGTTTAGGGGGCTTGAAATCTTATTCTTTCTATTGGCTCATTTTTACAATTCCTGCTGATTCTGTTGGCCTATAATTCTAACTTACTATTGGATATTATAAGATGTAATACTTCAAACTTATTGGCTACTATTTGGGCGCGGGCAGGGGTTTGTGGGGGAGATTTATCTTAGTCATCTAACTGCCACAGCCGGTTTTGCCATACTTTGACCTGGCTGCAGTTTCTGGAATAAACAGACAGCCCAGTTGCGATTCCTGGAAACTGCTCAGTTGCAATTCCTGAAAAACCTGGTTTTTGGTTAATCTACTCTTTGGCAATGGAAGGCTATTTGCAGAGTTTAAAGGTCAGCCTGAATAATGGAGCGTCTAATCTGGCTTAGCTAAAACGGAGGGACTTTGGCCTCTTTTTGGTTCCTCAATTATTAGCAGTAGTAGTAGTAGTACCGGAGATGGAACTGAGGTCCTTGCACTTGTGAAGCAGGTGGCAGACCCACTGAGCTAAATCCCCAGCCCTCGGTGACATAGTCTAGTTATAATCTCCTCCGGGACATCTTCCTAGGCTTTGTCAGTGAGGGTTGATGCAGTGGAGGACAGCAAAATGTTTTATCCAGAACTCAGAAAGTTAAAGATGTTTCTTCAGTGACATTAAAACATGGAGTGAAGGGCTGGGGATTTAGCTCAGTGTTTCCGCCACCTGCCTTGCAAGCATAAGAACCTGAATTTGATCCCCGGTACAAAAACAACAACAACAAAAAAAACCCATGGAGTGAAGACTGTTTTTATATACAGCTTCCCTTTTTTTTTTGTACTTGGAATCAAACTTGGGTCCCTGAGCACTGGAACCACTGAGCTAAATCCCTGACCCTGTATACAGTTTCTTAATGTTGCTAATCACTTGCTGGTCAATGGGCTGCAGAAGAGGTGCCATGTTGGTGGGGGAGGAATTTGACTTTTATGAAGTCTTCTTTCTTTTTTCTTTTTTTTTTTTTTTTTGGTACTG